CAAAAAGCTCCAACAAAATTTATCACAACAGTGAAAACTCTTGCTGGGAAATGTTTCAGAACATTTCAGAATTTTATATGGTAGTAAGGAAACACAGAGCAGTAGCCATGTGTGGGAGTCAGAACTTCCTCAACCAACTGGTATTATGTCTAGTAACACATCTCACTTCATTTAGAGTTGTGATACTTTGCATGGTACATAATTATAGTACTGTAAAAAAGAAAATAGAAGTAGAAATAAAAATTCATATTCTCCTCTAATCTGAAATGAAACGGAAATTGTCTAACATTATCTCACAAGGTACTAGTACTTAAAGGMATGCTATGCACTTATCTGATAAAGATTATGAAACAGTTACATGCCCTGTAGATATTTCATTTCCAAATTCCTCATGCATTCATTGAATTATATTTGAAACATAACATTAACATGTATGATAAAAGTATTAAAACTCAGATTTCCCAATTTAAGATGGTAAATATTCAGAGAATTCATATTTGTTCTGGTGTTGATGACCCTGAATTTACATAGTCCAATGCACCTCACAGTAACCCAAACAGATTTTGTCCCAATTCTATGAAGTTGACTATGCTCCACAATACTCTCTTCAGCATAAGATTTTCGTCTTGATTAGGTATTTCTTAAAAAAAAAAAAAATCTCCATTTTTAGAATGTTATTCTTTCAAAGAATATACACTTGTTTTTATATAGTTTATTAATTTTTTTAATTACTTTGTATAGCAGAAATATGCCACAGGGTAACAGCTATTCTTGCCAAGAGTAGTATCTTATTGAGACCGTTTGAGCATCTACTTTCTGTACAACACCTCAATGTCCACTGAAATATCCAGAAACCAGAAAAGGAAAGGAACCATTAACAGTTATCTACTTGCTTTTTACTGTACTTAGTGAGATCTAAAGAGCATAAGTATTGAAAAATATGACTCAAATATACATACACCTATATGTATATAGGAAAACTGCAGAACTGAAAACTCCCTTTCAGTTGATTCTGAATCTATGACAATCAACATTTTTAYCTTCCCAAAAGGTGAAGGAATGTGTACTTATTTATTTTTAAAGTTTGTAAAATACCTTCTGCAAGCACTGCATCCTTTCAACGCATCTACAACTACACTGCAAAACTACCCCTCTCTCTTTTTAGTCTACGTATGCAAAAGACCATTTTCCAATTCTTTTCAAGAACTGTACTACCACAATCACAGCTAAGTTTTGTACTGCTGGTAGTCTCAGACAGAAAGCAGACTTTTAGCCTTGAATAAGATGTTTCAAATAGGAATTGGAATGAGGACATGTTGTGACATCATTCTCAGAGCTACTCAGCCCAAACAACATAAATGCTTAATAGCTGTTTCAGTTGCACCAAAKATATAATTTAGCTGTCTAACTGCTAAAACTGCTAAAACAGATAAAAGAAAGCAAGTACAATTGTTTTCTATTTCCAATCTCAATGCACAAGGCACTTAATTCTTCACAAAATTCCTATGTTATATATGAGAAAGTGCAAACTACTACATGAAGAAATGTCTTTGCAACCTTCTATTCTCTATATCCACACCGTCACAGCATCAAACCAAGAATAATAAGAACTTATAGAAATAATAGGCGAAATAACAGCTCCCTTCCAAATCTGCTTTATTCAGCATACATCGCCAACTTCACATTTTTTGCAGTAACTCACCTTCCGGATTGAGCTCTGCCACATGACCAGCAACCAGACAAAAGGGGGGAAAAAAAAAGAATACATGATATATCATATAAAAAAAAAAAAAAAGNTAACAGGGTTTTAAGAACTTAAGTGACATTTGTTAAGTAGACAATACATAAAGACATAACACTAGCCAAAAACCAGACATGACACCACCACTATTCATCAATAGTGCAACCCCATCCAAGTGACTGACTCATTAAGCTTCAGCTGTTTGAATCCCACAGAGATAGACTGAAGACTGATTTGGCCAGAAATATGGATATCTTGAAAAACTAAAGAGGAAAAAAGYCTCTGTTCAGATAAAATGAAATCACAAAAGCATTTAAAGTTTGTTTACTAGCATATTACACTTACAGATTTGACTGCCAAGTAACAYTAGTATTTGTATTAATTCCACATCATTATCTCAGTTTAATAATTTTAATAAACATAAAAAAATAAGATCCTAGCCCTAATGATGTGCCTTTACTTAGAAGTCTTCCAAATTCAACCATAAAAGTTTTTTAAAATTTATTTTTCATTCCCTATAATTCTCTTCGACGTCATGTCTGCTTGTTCTTTTTTTTAATTGCATATAAACCATCAAACACACTCAAGATGCAAGATTTCCTTACTTCCCTAACCAAAAGATTTGTAAAATCCAACTTAATATTTAAAATACAAGTATAAGTTTCATTAGTAATACCTGAAAGAAATAATGTGTTCATTTTCTGGTCTTACAAAGCAAAATTACAGAAACAAGACCAGCAAAACAAAAAGCAAGCTTTCAAAATCAGAGGATCCAAGACACTGGCTAGTGTGCTACCGATTCAGTCATACCACRAAACCTATCTAAAGCCACATCACTAATTTGGACAGTTATGAACATACAGTATCTCATTCACAAGGAATATTCAGKCAGAATCACAGGACAGAGGGACTGAAGTTGTATAAGTTGTTCATGCAGGCTCTCAAGAAAAAGGGAGAGCATCTTTTTCTTTAAAAATATGAGCTTCATTATTTTTCTAGAAATAAACGTTTCAGTCATTACACAGCCTAGACTACCATCATAAACACAATGTTTCAAGTGTGAAGTGATACAAACAAAATGCTTACATAAAAGTGTYGCTATAGGATAAGGTACTCAAGACCACCACCCTTCACAGAAGCCCTAAGTTCAGATGAACAATCTACTCCAATTGTGCTGGCACAGCTTTGCGCTGGCACAGCTTTGTCTTTGCACAGTGAACCAAATCAGCAAATCTGGCTGAGAAACAACTGGTGACTATGTGACCACAACAGGGGAGGAGGCGCAGGAGCAAAGCCAAGCAGTAAGAAGTGAAGACCTGGCAACTTAAGCTGGTTTATAAAGCATTTAACATGGAAGCCCTGCCTAAATACAACTTCTTAGTAGCCTGACAGATTCACATGGTTATGTGTAGAACACTAAGATAATCAATCTTCAGTCATGGACAGCAGAAAAAATTACATATTCTATCATTAGGATATAGAACATTATAAAATAATGACTTGGTTTCTATTTCTTTGGGTTAATTTATTTGTTTGGATTCACTACGTTCATCTGTTAAAAAGGAAGTGAGGAATAATCACTCCCAACGCTTATTCAGATCTCATTCTCTGTGGGGAGGCAGTTATCATTATCATCACATTTGTTGGCAGACCAGAAGGGTGAATAGTCATAAAGATGTAATCAACTTTTCAATCCAAGAGGTGGTACCTTAAAGAGCAGAACAGAATCAAATTAAAAGGATCGGGTGAGAAAGCTGGTACAGCTGTTTCCCAAGAAACAAGCTTATGATTTTACCTCTGTAAGACCAATTACATAAGTTAATGCAACAMAAATATTAACTAAAACTGAAGACTAGATGAACATTTTTTAATTACTACTGCTCTTAATATATTKCAAAAGAACATTTATAAGAAATACATAGGGGAAAAGACCACAAAAAAAAGGCATATCATTTCAAGTCTCTAGTGGCTTACCTGTTGATATATTATATGAAACCATACAAGTTCCTTCWAGTTCTGATGGAGAACAATTCTCCTTCAAAAAGACAGATAGGACCACAGTTTCAGATGAATCTGGTTCTAAAAACAATACAAAATTAAATCAAGTAAAAGGAGCATCCAAATGAAAGCAACATATTTTCTAGCACTTTGGGAATTATTCTACTAAATTATGATTGTTTCCATTAGGTCATCTTTATCAAATCATTGTACATGCTTTTTTTGTAATTCCTAACTTGTAGAAAGCAAACTAGGGCCTCCAAGTATCTTGAAGCACAACCTATAAAACAATTCAGTACACTGAACACAGAGAATATAAAAAATAAAGAAGATTTGTGTTGCAATTTTAGTATTTTACAWAGCCATCAGCCATTTGCTCCTATCATATGCTGAGAAAATATATGAATTAAAGTAGCAGTCAGTAACGCCCTGTTCCAATAAGGACTATTACTGCACATTTCAGAGCAGAAATKGCCTGCAGTTCCAACTGAAGCAGCAGACACACTTGTCTGACCTTCAGCTCCTCGTAGTCCTGAAGGCAATCCCACCTGCAGTTTTACCAACAGAGCTGGAAAAGGGCCAGGATCCCCAAACAGCTGATGATAAGGTGAGAACAGACTGTCCCTCAGTACACAAACTTACTGTCCCTGTTTGTAGATCAAGACTGCCATTTCTAMATAGAAAYGTCAGTGAAACAAAACCCAACRGAAGTACTACAGAATAATTGGGGGKTATTTTTGCCTYCTTCACAAAGCTGCCATCCCACCTCTATTCCCTTGTCATCCATCAYACCACAATCAARGARGSAACTCCATTCCYTTCTACTTCATCTTCCCCCACCAAGCTGTATGTACAAACTGTGGAGTACAGGCAAGGCCAACTCGTAATTGCTTTAACTGCTGTATATCTGCAACAATGCACTYACTGGAGGTTGGACTATGCCTTTTCAAACATCAGAAAAAGTAATAGAATACAACAGCTGTGATGGCACTGCCATAATTTACCTAAATCGTCAAAGACAAACTGGTCACAGGTCACTGCTAACGGAGCTTGCACACACACTGCCAGGCTTGGCTTCTGCACAGCCGCTTTGCTCTGTATTGTTACCTAGACAAAGGGACATACATAAGTATTTAAAGGAAGAAACTAATTAATCTCTACAAGAGAAAAAAACACATAACCAACAAAAAAAAAGAAAATTAATTTGAATTTATTGCAGCAAAATTATCACTGATATTATCAGAATAATGGTTTTATCCTTTATCATTTTTTGCACTTAAAAATGCAGAGAAAGATGTTGGAGCAAGTACAAGTAAACCACAACTTTCTGAGGGAATCTCGTTCAAACAGTTCAGTTACCCTCTGAATTTTTCACTCAAGACAAAAAGAGAACTTGCAAGGTTCTCAAAAATGAGACTCCACTGATATTCTTAGAAGATCATCTTAAAGTCAGAAATAAAAATCATTTTCTTTTTAGGCAATACTGAGGAAAAACTACACTTGCACACACATGCATGCACACAAATACACATGCTCATTTTCTTTACAATTAGTTTCAGGCACGATTTCCCCCTGAAGAACTGCAATTTTCTACTCAGATTTTCCTCAGTTTTTTTTCAAATAGGTAAAGCTATGAAAGTCTTTTCACAAAAGAAAGTCTATTTTTTTGTTTATTGATAACTAAAAAGACAGCTGAGGRTTACAAACTTTCCAAACACTTATTGCCTCAGGAAAAAATATTCTCATTACTTCAAAACTACTTCATTCCATCCTAATAATGTTTCTGTGTCTGCTTATTGATAAGCCTATCAAAAATAAAACTGCAATCACTTTCTGACTTTAGTGAARGCTTACTAGAATGACACCTTGTCGTATATATTGCATTTCAAACTTTACTCATTTTCATGTTCTGAGTGAAATACATGGAAAGTGACAGGCTTGTTACGATTTGCCACCACTGTTCAAATGCCACTGTTTGAGTTAGGCACAGTACCTTTACTGTGACTGATGGTACTGCCCCTGCTTTTACTTCACTGTCAATGGCTTGCTGTGAAGAAAAGAATGAAAACAGAGTAAATTCAATGTTCCACATGAACAAGAAAACACAATGAAAGCAATATTACTTTCCTACCATCCACTTGGCAAACAGAGAATTAACATTAAAGGATTTATCATTCCTATGACAGGTTAAAATACACAAAATACGTTTCTGAAAATGTAAAGCCTCTGTTTGAAATTGCCTGCAAAAAGGCTAGCAAAAGGTCATGAATGCTGTATATATAAGAAACTAATACACTCTGATGTATATATGAACATCTGAAACTGTTTTGTTTGGCACTTTACWTTTCACAGTATATTTATTCAAATTCTGGAAATACCTTCTGCTATTCAGTAGGGAAAAGTGACTTCCAATCTACCAATGTATTATATACACAACATAGCATGTACTATAACATCATCACACATTATCTTATAATTAGCAATATACCTGAAACTTCAAAAGAAAATCCTAGCAGGTGCTTTGATACTCCTGCTAATTTCTATTTCAATAGGCAATTCCATCTACTTCAAAACTGATCTTGACCTCGTGGTCTATTTTTATTTTATTTTATGCTTATACTTCATTTTGAAACAGGTCAGTCACTACCATTAAAAAAAATTGTTCCCATTTAATCTATTATAAAAAACCACTTCTCTCACTTCTGCTATAAYACCAAATTACTGACTTGGACTTATATCTTCTCATTATAAAAGAGTAAATTTAAAGTGGTATAAGGGCTATATCTGTAAAATTCCTAAGAAGTTAGGAAGCTGGTAGGCTCTCTGGATTCTGGAAGAACAGAGAAAGTTCTGGAAGAACAACTTTCATATGTACATTGTGCACCTTTTTCAGTTAAAAAAAGAAATACTTTCTTACTAGCTTGTCATGCTTACTACCTCTCGAGACCAGTGGCTGATCCTGAAACAATAGCAGGGGTATAAAGATATAGATCCTTAGCATATTCAGCTTTCAGAAATCACCTGGATTTCCTGGATCAGAGGCCACACACAGGAGGGTGTATTAAATAACAGAATGGTCCTCCACTTGCTTATCCAATCAATTTTAATACTCCATATCCTCTTTGCTTTTATCAGACACATTGCAATTTCAATCTTTTCACAAGTGCAGACATTGCATCGGAAATCCTGTAGTTTCCAAGGTAACTACAGAAGCCCCAAAACCATCCTACACTTGCTTATCGATCCTTCCCCACAGAGTATCTTAACAGATTTTTCTTTCTGAGGCAGCTACTGAAAGAACCCACAGAAAAGCCGACCACACAGGAAACTAAGATATAAGGGCAGATAAAGGTTCAAGGCTGTGGTTTTATTGATTTACTGAGTTACATGTTAAATAGACCAGTTGAATCTGGAAGGTTGACCAAATGAGCACAGCAGCATTAGAGCACTCTGCAGACCTAATAGTTTWAAGTGTTGCGAGCAGATTATTGTAGCTAGGCAAGACCATGTCACATTGTCCTTTTTCTACAGGCAAGTGCTAGGACACTAGCACACATTATAAAAAGGTCCATTTATCAAAGAATAATATCCTCGTATAYTTTTTAAACAGTAAGTAGCTGTGGAAAATCAGTTTTGCAGAAATTATTGGCCAGAAATAGCTAATTATAGATGTTCTAGTGCAGCAACTAGATTCTGAAACGTTTAAAGTGAAGAGCTTTATGAGACAATATAAGCTCTCCCAAATCTTAATTGTAATAATTTTTGTAAACTACATATGTATCCAACATGAATAAACTAATTAGGCCGCAACACCAAGGGATATTGAATGACAGCTTGTTGGAGAAAGATTATTTCTTACAATGTGGTTTGAGTGGTTTGAGTATTCTACCTTTGAAAGATTCACTTCTACTGTTTCCCCGAATATTAACATCAGCTCACCAGTACTACCTCTCAGCACCACAAAGTAATCCCAGACCCTATGTTATTGTTCACTTATATTTGCTCAGCCAAGACTCTAAAGGTCCCCAGACAGAAGATAAATAAGTAATTTTAATAATTCTAGTTAAAATCTTTAATAAAAGTGCGTTTTAATTGATGGAAAACTGAGGGCCRTGAAACTCAGTCCCACAAATGTAAGTAGTAATCACCATACATGATTAGTCATTATTTACTCATGTGAAATCAATGCTTTCAGATCAATTTCCTTTTTATACAAGTACATACAGATTCYTCATCCAAATCAGGTGAAACTTCTGCTGTGACAGTTACATCTCTCTGCTTTTCAGATTCAGGTAAAATATCTGAAAGAAAAAAGAAAAAGCAAATAAGTTCTTTAAGAAACACAGCTMCATTTCTAAAAATAATACAATTCCAACAGCATCAAGAATTAAAGTTCCATACACCTATTAAAGAAAAAATATCAATGTGCATGATTTTTGAAACTTCCAAAGAAACTTCAYGATTTTATTAGATTCCTACAGACAACATAAATCTGGATCTCATTCTGGGTTTCTGATTTATGTATGAAAAAGGATTTAGATGCATTCTATATCAAGATTTTACACTTAATATCTGTGATCTTCAGAGACTCTAAGGTATTCTTAAACGTCTATCCTCACATGCACATGCCAATATATTTAGAATAAATTACTACCTCCAAAATAACACACGACACACCTCATCTAAATAACTTGATAGTGAATATGTTAAACAAAGAAAGATCCTGTGTCTACCACAAATTCCTCTGCTTAAGGAGATATATCAAAGTTTTATATATAGACCACTCCACGTGGCTCAGTTAAAATATGTTACCAGATGAYTTCCAGGACTGTCAACATACAAGGTAAAGAATGCTACAAATTCACTTTTATCCATGATACAACACTTTATGCAGACTCACACATGCAAAAAAAACCTACTTGAACTGAGAACTTAAAAAACATTGAGGAATGACATAAACTTCTTTTGAAGGCCCAGAAGTTCACCTCTAGGGTACTTGCATTTTTCTGAAGAGCACGTATATTTTTTAACATACTAAGTATATTGGAAAACAAAAAATCTGAACAGGAAATATATAGTTCCTAAATTAACAACAGTAAGGAGTTGATGTATAGGGGTAATTAACTTTTTTAATAATAATTGAATAACTAAGAGAGTGAGCACATTCAGAAAGCTGAAAGAATTTTATTACACACAGGGTCATGAAAATTACCTAGAACTAGCAGACAGCACATTATCTCTGTCTAACAAGAGGGTCAAGGGAAAAGATTTTGATGAAGACTGAAAACAAGTATTCATTTTCTTGTGCTCAGAGAGAAATGCCTCCCTTTACTAGAAGAAGGAAAAGCAAAACCAAAATTCATTTCCCCAATATCACCTAGAAAAGAAGCTTAGGCCTGTTTCACACTGCCACAATTGCAAAGAACTTGTTCTGCCAATTACACAGTTCAGCAGAGTCCATTCTTCTTTTGCCCCTTCTTAACCATTTCTCTTCTGGTTGCTTCTGCAAGCTATGATGCAACCTCTGTCATACAGTCATTTTTCTATTAGAAGYACAACAGAGATCACAATCAAAGTTTACTTTTAAGTATCAGCTTTTTGTTACTATTAAACTGAGCCAAAACACATATGTTTAATCRCTTATGTCATCCAGACTGATGCAAGTAACATTAGATTTAAGTTAGTATAACAGTTGTTAAAATATTTCATCAGTTTATAATGTAAATCCTTATTCTTCAAAATGTATAAAACARCTTAAGTTCAACAGTTTAATGGTCAGCACTGGACAGAAATACAAGACATTTATGGACATAACTACTCTTAAGGTTTTTTTTTAATACGATGACCTAATTCTAAATACCTTCCACATTTGAAAATCAAAATGAAACAAAGAAAAATTATTTCCATGTAAGGGAAGTTATTTCCAAAACAACACAAGCTSTTACTGCACAAGCATGAATTCAAAAGGCAAGAAAGTCAATGGGTCATTTTAAAGATTGTGCTTAGGAGTAAGTTAATGGCAACCAAGGTTCATGCTAAAGTTTTAAGAAAAAAAAAGGCAAAACAATACAAAGCCAAAACAACCAAAATTGATAGTCATGCTTCATAAGTAAAATGTTTCATTGCATAAAGAGGTTCTCTTACAAGTTTTACATCCAGTAAAAGCCAAAAACAACATCATTAGGACATCTCTCCACAAGAAAAAGAGCATTCATAAAAATTCATCTGAAAGCACCACTTGGATCACATTAGACAAAATGAGGAAGAAAAAGAAATTAAGAAAGAATGGTGAAAAAAATCAACAATCTTTACAGTAAACTTGTCATTCGTACCATGACTGTTATTACAAATTTTTTTAAGGACAGCTACAATTCCTTTCTCTCTTTAGATCTTCTATTCAACATGTTGAAACGAAMAAGCTGAAGTTGATTCATTTCAAATGGATTTGTTCTTTCCATCATGCTTTTCTTTCCTTGGGTTATGATAGACAGACAAAATTCAAATACCTATAAGGATGGACTGTGGTAAAAATCCATGGAATTTATCCACATCYATATGCTTAAATAACACATTACTGGATTTGGAAAATTAAAATCCTGATATTAGTCTACCATGATACAGAACCAGGTTACATGTCATTACAAAATGAAGAAATCTTTGTGTCGTAGAATCAAACTCATGCCTGCAGATAAATAATTCTTATTTTATAGGAATTTCAACTGCAAGCTTTTTCACTTTTTTCACACAGAAAGCCATGACTATTCCTTTAATGCATTTTAAGAACATGCTAACTATCATCAAAAAAAGATTTTAATTTGTTCCTTCTATTTGTTGGAAGATTTTTCCATAGTTTCTTGCAAAATCATCTGCATCCAATTCCCTGCACAAGTCAGGCTATTTAAAAACTAGTTATGAAAACATAAACTTTGAAGGATCTCTGTAGAAATTATGTGGCCTTACTTAAATAAAATCAATGCAAGTTATTAGCAATGTAAATAAATTCCAGAATTTATCATTGTCAGTTATGTGGGTAACGATATGTCACTATGCACCACAAATATATTTTTGAATAGTCAAACCAATAGAACAGTTGCTTTAAAAAAAAGTCATTCTTCATTAATTTCATAACTAAAGAAGTTATTTGTAATAATAAACCAGAATTTGGCAATGCTTTTACTCTCTCTGAAGCCKAACTACACCAGATTGTTGAAATTCTTCAAATTTTCTTGCCTTTGGATAGTACATACACTGTCAGTTTTTATTCTGAATCCCTGCACTAGYGAGAATTATCTGCAACCTGATGTAGACATCTTGAACCTTCCAACAGCATTATGAAAATACAAAGAAAAAAAAAACTTTATCCAAGGGCCTTACAATCTAGGATTTTATTTATTTATTTTTATTAAATATTACATTTTCTACAGAAATGAAACTATGGTTAAAGTCTGAAAATACCATTTTTTAAGTGATTAAAAGAGTGTCAAGTGGATAAAGCTATGTAAAAATATAGAATGAGAAAGTATACCTTGTGTTTTTGTGGCCTCCCTGATGATTTTCTGAAGCTCTTTCATTTCAGCATTCATTTCTTCATAGTTTATTTCCCTAGAATCAACCTTAGGAGCCTGGAAGAGTGAAGGATCAGTTCCAAGATATGAACATTGAAGATGCCCATCATCACTAAGAGTGACTATAACACCCTTCAAGTCTCTGCACAAAAGAAATAAAAGCTTACTAAGAAATTGAGAAGAATCACAGAAGCAGTAACAATATTTATTCCTTAATTCAGACATGTTCATTAACACTCCACTTATTGCAATCATACTTCAGAATGGATTTGTCGTGGATGATTTAGAGGCCCTCAGAATCTGTGAAATTGTTCAACCAGGAGAAGTAATGGAAAGGATCAGAACAAACAAGCTGAATAGACAGGACAGCTGTAACCTATGCATCATTTAAGTGGGGAAGGGAAGGAAAGGGAAAGGGAAAGGGAAAGGGAAAGGGAAAGGACAAGAGTGGTTAGAAAATATCATGAACAGATGGAAGATGCTCGCAAAGCTTTAGGGCTTTGATGGTATCAATAGCTCCCCTAACCAACTCTTTGGCTGCTATTGCAACTACTGTGCTGGCTTCAAATCCTGTCTGGCTGTTCCCTGCAGCATCCTCCTGAAAAGAAACCACATGGATCCAGAGCACTCCCCTTACACTCCTCTGAATCAATACAAGCGAGTGTTTTATTAGCTACACTATAGTCTCTTTTCTCTCACGGGAAAATACCTCATTGCTCCTACAAAAATCTCACTCATTTTGTTCATCTGATCTGTACAATGCATATGCAAGATTTAGGAAAGTATGTAACAAACTATGAGACAATAGGGACTACTGCCAACATTTTCCTTCATTGGAAGGTTATTCCTAAACAGAAGAGGAACTGAACAGTAAAGAGCGGCATAGAAGTTAACAGCAAATGCAAGGAGAAAGCTAACTTTCCCTTTATTTTTTAAAGTGCTTACTTTTAATTAAATTAAAAGCCTGTATTCACTTTCATAATCACAACATTCATGCCAGTAATTTGCTCTTATTCCATCCTTAGATTATCTTATAGCAGATACTGCCTTTGCATCAAACACAACTGCCATAAAAAGCAAAGACAGATCAAATGTCAYTCTTAGATATAAAAAGTGATTTGGACAAGAAGGCCTAATTCACTATCCCACTAATTAAACACTTGTAAAATACTTAATTTGTGTATGTTCAAGCCATAATTCATATAGAATTAACAAAAATTGATTTACACACACTGATACCTTTCAAATGCCTGCTCTAGTGCAATACTCATTAAATGGAAGGTAGCTATATAAAAGACATAGAATTCTCTCTGGTTTCCTACACTGTCCTGTAGCAAGGTTCCAGAACACACAGATAGGAAACCTCCATCCAAAATTTTCCATGGAAATGGTAATTATGAAAGCCAACAGAYGTCATAGATTAATTTTGATCACTGATGGTCCAGCTGTACTGTTCAAAACGTCTTTTTATAGCACAATTGGGCCACCATCGCAGTGGTGGTTTTACAGCTGCAAACAAATAATCTGGAAAAACTATGCTGTAACTGAGATCATTTGAACTCTGTACAGTTTTAACTGCACACAGGAATGAAGACCCTACTCAGCACTATACAAATAAGTAGCTGCTGTAGGTAAGTTTGAGCTTTCTCCTTCTACAGAAAGTAATTGTTACTCAGTGAAAGAAATAAATCTTGTTGAATTATGACTGTACAGAAACTGCTTGTGAGCTTTTTCTAGRCAACAGGTATCTCCAGTCAGTCCTTCACTGAAGCTGGAGCGTGCAAAGCTGAATTGCCTTCTGGAACAAAACACACATAAAAAGGCTCAAACACAATGTTCCTCTTATCTACTATAAAAGCTCRTCTTTAACAGAAACAGTCTTCTCTTTTAGGACTACTGCTTACTGCCACAGAAAAYGTTCCATCTACCACTAAAATTTTYAACATGCAATTTTTTAGCATTCCCTACAAAAACTGTAATAGGAAGATGTCTTCATGAGCACCATAAGGCTGAAGGTGCCAAGACTCCCYCAACAAATACTTGAAGAAAAGAAAGTAGAAGACTTGATACTGATTTTCAACTTACATATCCAGTCCCTGTGTTAGCAGCCWTCCTGTGAACATCATTACCTGAAGGGACATTACATCCTGAAGGGACTTTCTGACAAACAGCAAACTGTCAGCAGGAACTGGAACTAAGCATGGYTTCTCTCACTACTTGAATATTTGTTGTTGMCTATAGTCRGTTTCCTTGCTCAGGACTGGGTCTGCTRTTTGAATTACATGCAGAACTGCTCATTCTAGTTTTCTGTGTCCAAAAATMTCTGTACAACACAAGCCTATGCTACATTTACAGAATTCTGGATGGCACATGAAACACATACATTGGGCTAACCCTGAGTTCTTTATATGAACAATGCTAGGAGACAAACTATTATGAATATGTGCACCACAAAGCAATCTTAGGCACATAAATAATACCTAATGTACAGGATTTTGTTAACRTTTGCCAAATGCTTTCAAGGAGTTTTGCCATATTGGCCTAGGGTGGAGCAAAGTCTTTAAAAATGGGGAATTYTTGAGGCAGATGCTAACATGCTACCAAATACACTGCCCCACACCTTTGCTCAAATTGCAGCAAATAATAACTTTAAAAAAAATTAAATTAAAAAGGGTACAATGAGAGAAACAGCATCAAGAGCTTTTTCCACAACCGGAAAAAGAAAACTGCTGAAAACAAGACAATTTCTAGAATTCTTCAACAAGGGCTTTGGAGCATCTTAAAATATCTTTCCCTAAGTTTTGCATCTGTTAATCTAATAAGGAAAGATCCATGAGGACATCTGAATGTAAATCAAAAAGGCATGAAGAAATATAGCTACAGAGTTAGCAATAAATCTTTGATGATATACTACTAAGGTATAATACATTCAAAAGGGGCTTGTAAATACAGTCCTTCCTATATACCTTTAAACTGCAGCTAATCAGTCTGTCAAATGAGATCAGTTTAAATCAATGAGGTGATTTACCTATGTAAATTATGCTTTGCTTAACTTCTATATTTATGTCAGCATTACAGAATGCACATTCAGAAACGCCACCTTAAAATAAACTCATTTCAACCAAGGTTCCTGTTAGTCATTACATCCTTGAAATCTGCACTATCTCAGAGACTAAAGCATTAGTTTAAGAAAGCAAAATCACAAAACAGACTTTTTCTTTGCTTCAGTTAATGGTCTGCTGGGTACCAAGAAGATTGTTCAACAAAGTATAAAAAAGCCTTTTACAGTAATCTTTCCTTGTTAAAAGCTGTCCATGAATTTGTACATCAACAGAAACAAAAAGAAAAATATGGGTAACCAGTTCCAATATTTTTTTTATAATACAATTTTTTCTCTCTTGGAATGTTTGTAAGCCAGTCAAAATTGCATTATTTTCTCGATCTTTTTTTMACAATGGTTAAGGACAACAGGGGGAGGGGAAGCATATTTAACAGTTTTACAGTAGTTTCCCCACAGCTACTGCTCTCACACAGTATCCCTGCAAATACCATTACTTCATTTGGCGCATTTTGCATACAATCTGGAATTTCAATTACTTATTAAATTTCTTTTATTGTAAGCTATTTTTTTACTATGTATCACACAATAGTCAGAGTAATAGTAAATCTACGGGGACATTTTAACAGTGAGGAACTCAAAGCATAAAACAAATTATTCTGATATCTAAAATAACTTTATAGTACAAAGCAGCTCCTACASACATATGGTAATAATTTGAAAAAAAATATCTTTTATTGGATTCCGGATAATAATAATGCCATATGCTTTTTGTAGGTTTTCTCTTACTAAACAAATTGCTCACAACATAGTCCTTGAAGAAATTAAAATGCCTTACGTGTTTCCAGTTATATAATACCAAACTGATCAAACAAATTAGAAGTTGAATCTGTAGTTCTGAGTTCTACTTGGATGACAYAAGCTAAGCTTTGGACAACTCTTAGGACAAGCTCTGGTTATTGACACCATTTACAGTTTTAATTATTTATAATAACTCATAAAATTTGTACTTCAGTTTCAGAAGTAGCCTTAATTGCTATTAGTCATACCAACCATTTTAGAAAACAAGATTCTCTGCAATACTACTTTCTGGTCCSTATCGATAATGTATTATTTTAAAACTACTAAATTTGGAAACTATTAGGAAACTAATTCCTGGAAYTGTGCTCAAGCATTTTGAATCCATTTCTCTCTTCATTTTATCATCCTTTGAGGTAATTATAGCCAAGAGCATATCTCAATAGCACTCTTTGGTTCAGTGCTTTTGAAAACCTAAATTATTCTAAGTTCACTACCATTTCAGTGTCATTTTAAGCTGTAACTATGTGAAGTATTTGATAAGACACTAAAGGAACATCAGACTAGAAGTAATTAACTGTGAGACTATTCTAACTAATGGGAATAACAATTAAAAGCCCATCTTACTCTTATTAAATACAGACTCTAAAATCTAAAGTGCATCCACAGCTGAATATTCAAAGTATATCCACTATGACTCAATGCCAGCTACTACGGATTCCTAACTGTCCTGCATATCTGCAGAGCACTCTCAGGCTCCCTTGAAATGCTTTCCTCAGTAAAAAAAATCTTGGTTAAACTTATATCAGAAGTAATGATTGCATGTGTAAGCCTTCCCCATTCTGCTATTACATATGAAAATAGACAATCCCATTACTCTCAGAAATTAAAATTCTTTTAAAATTATTAAATTACATATTTAACATGCTTTGTATACTCTGCAGAGAGCATGCAAACAAATCACGTAAATATAGGGTTCAAATATAATTCTTTAACAATATGTAATTATATTAAATAGCATTAAGTAGTAAATAATTTGCGCTGTTGCTTTACAGACAAACATTCCTCATCTTTTCCATACCTGTGATACGTTAGGATGACTGATCTTAATAGAATATCAGATACAAATCTGATTTTTACAATTACAGAATTACATGTAAGAAGAAGAGGGAAATAAAACATTATTCATCTGGATAACCAATGGAAAAGCAGTTAAAAAATAGAATTTACTACCAGAACAAGAGGTCAACATTTATCCCCACTTATAAATACCGAAATGCAGAGAG